GCTTACAAATATATTCTTTCATAGTTCTAGAGGCTAAAAGTCCAAAATCAAGGCACAGAGGAAGTGGTTCCTTCTGAGAGTGCAGCACTGGGCCCTTCTCCTGGGCTGGCAAATCTTCCCTATCCGTGTCTGTATCCAAATCCCCCCTATTTATAAAGACACCAGACCTCTTGGATTAAGAGGCAGCTCAATGGCCTCATTTTAACTGCTAAGTATATCTGCATGGCCCTATGTCCATTAGGGTCACACCCTGAGGTCTAGGGGTTAGGACATCAGCATCAGGAAGGCAGGAGGATACAACTGAATTTGAACTCCCAAGACTGCCTTTGGAAGAGCGCACAGAAAGAGCAGCTGACGGGCTCTCCGTGGTGGCGCAACGGGTTGAAGTGCAGCACTGTGAAGCTGGCTGCAGCCACTTCTACAAGAGTTTGATCCCCCGCCAGGGAGCTGACCCACATGGCGCGGCAGACCTCTCCTGACCTGCCTGCTGCTCCCCTCAGCAGTGTCCTTCGTCAGTCTGCCTGTTCTGCTCCCCATGCTGTCTCTGGTGAATCCTCTCGCCGATCCTGCACCTCTGGCTGGTACCACAGTTTTTGCATGCATGCATAAATAAATATTAAAAGAAAGGAAGAGCAGCTGACTTCCCAGGGCAAAGCTTGGACTCTGACGTAAGAGGAGAAGAAATGTCTACCTCATTTGCGTCTCTCGCCCCCAGCTCAGGAGTATTGTGTCTCTGCAGAAGGATCCCTGGTCACTGGACAGTGCCTGGAATCTAGGAGGGGGTGTTCAGCTCATACCTGTTGCAAGTGCCTGTGTCAGGAGGGCGGTGGAATAGGAGGGGGGATGGTGACTCCTCCAGCCTCTCCTGCACACCATTTCCCACAGCAGCTTTGGGGTAGGGGGTTGGCCCTCTCCCCCAGCCTAGGAAGGTATGGCGCTGGGTGGGGAGAAGTCAATGGTCCCATCCTCCCCCAGGGCCATCACCTAACAAAAGGTCCCAGACCAGGCGGTGACATTCTTGGGCCAAGAGTTGTTCCGTTCTAGGTGCCCGCTGTGACTTTTTGGTGCCACTGAAGGGTTAAGGGGTATTTGCCTGATCCAGGGTCTCCCCCGAGTCCTGGGTTGGCATCACGCTGATTCACAGTGAACATTGGCATCACATAGGCTCTGATAAGTCCTGCAGGAAAACCTACAAGTGTATTTCACTTGCTCTTGAATTTCCTGATCCCATTTGACCTTTGATTCATTCTTGAAGTCCAAAGGGTCCTGTTCTGAGAGCTGAGGCCACAACAATGGACATAGCAGACAAATCCCTGCCTCTTGGGGCTCCATCCTAGGACATTCATTCATGCAGAACGTCTGTTGACATCTTCCAGAAGGCTGCTCCTCAGAACCATCATCTAACACTGCTGCTGAGCTTCTCCGGACACGCAGAGGGGATGGACTCTAGGTGTGCCCTTTGTGAAGGTCAGGGTCAAGTGTAACTTGATGCAGGAAGGCTACTTCAGCCCCATCCTTTCATTAGCTCCTCTGTTAGCCTAACATGTATATTGTTGATGCTCTGCTGTGTGCCAGGCCTGCCCTGGATGCTGGAATTTCAAAGGTGAAGAACGGAAAGTTGTTCTCATGCAACATTTCAGTGGTGGAAACTAGAACTCCTAGAGACATTCCTCCTTTCCTAAGAAAGTGCCCCCAGCTGCCCATCCTCCCATTTTGCTCCCCACCTAACTCCTAACCCCCTGCTGTCTCCTCCTCCCAACCTCCCTCCCATTCAGAAAGTAGCTCACTTTGCTTCAGGCTGAGGCCGGCCAGAGCTCTGGCTTCTGCAGCTTCTCTGACCAGTCCTCGCTCCCCAGATCTTGGGACGAGTTCATCTTTTGGGATTTTGTGCTGGTTGCTCCTCAGCCAGAAGCTTCCAGAAGATCAGTCAGCAAAGAGCACAACTGACAGTGTCCGCTGGCCTTGGGAGCAAGGTCATCCAACAGGGATTGTGATGGTGTGGGGGGGGGGGGACATCCATCTCCCTTGGGACCAGTAAGGAGTAGCCATAGGCTGACTGCAGAGCTAACAGAGAGGCTGGGACCTGTTCAAGGTCATCTGAACAAAGGCTGTGGGATACTTATGGGGGGGGGGCTGGGGAAGGGAACATGGCCTTGCCTGCACCTTTGGGTCACCTTCCGCCAGGCCAAGGATTCCTGAGATAGTCCTAGCTGTTCTCTGAGTCTTAAATTCCCTATCTGTCAGATAGGAGAGGCAGATTAGATCATTTAGTCTGTTTCAGGCTTCCTACAGGGGAATCTGGGCGTGACTTGCCCTTCTCCTTCTGGCTAACTGCTCTGGCCCCTCCCTCTTTCTTCCTCATCCCAGGACCTAGGGAAAGATTGTGAGCTTCAAAGCTGTGCAAACAAACATGTCCAGGCCCATAGGGAACAGGGGGTAAGGGAGGGCATGGCTATTTTTATCCCAGTTTGAAGGATTTTCACAGCTGCTTCTGCTGTGTACACCCACTTTCCACAGGTCCAGGCTATGGACAGATGTCACTGTGGGTATAACAGGAGGGGGTGCCCCCTAAAAGAAAGGCTGCCCAACCCATGCCTGCCATGCCACCCTTAGGGGTCCATGACCACCTCCCCCCAGGCCTCCAAACTGTAGTAGCCCCAGAGAAGGACTCTACACTCTACAGAAGGCCAGGGCCCCAGCAGGAAGGAGGGAGCAGGTCTAAGGTCCCTGGGTGTGGAGAGTGAGGAGCCCCTCAGAGCCAGGTGCCCTTGCCCAGTGATATCTGCTAAGCACCCACAAAATGTCAGCCCTGGGCCACCAGGCTGTTTCCAGTAGCCAAAAGACCTGCAAGTCTTTTCTACAACTTTCTGTGAGTTGACATCACTGATTTTGGGCCAGGTGCTATGTAGCACATGTCACAGAGGTGACCCCAGGTGCTGCTGGAGCTCCAGAGCACACCCATCCCATCCAAAACTTTCCATTTCCACCTCTGCTGCCCCAGGCCAAGCCCTCCCCACCTTCCCACCCCTCCATCCACCACCCCACCCCTGCCCAGGTGAAGGGAATAGCTCCAGCAGGTGATGCTCACAGTCTCCCACAGTCCTCTGGGGCACCCAGGAAGGGGTGTCTGGAAAGTAGAAATGAGATCCCAAGTTCTTCCCCTCCTAGTGAATCACCTTTTGCTGTCATCCCCTCACCCCGATATGATTTCCTCCTCTTGCTTAGAATTAAAGGTCAAGTCCTACTTACCCTGACTTGCGAGGAGGTGCTGCAGGGTCTGACCCTCCTCCGTTTCTCCATGAATCTCAGGTACCAGAGCGGGATCAATTATAATCCTCAGTCCATTACAAACTCTCATTGTTTTGGGCGTCAATAGTCCACCCAGGGGCCACTTCTATTTATTGCAGCATAGGGTTATCAGTGACCTGGTAGCCCCCTCAAAAACACAATTAACATAACGACACAAGTGAACTCAAGAGCGTGGTACTGGGGCCTGGGGTAGGTGTTGCTGGAGGGTCAGGTCCTCCCTGGGGTTGCAACGGGTTAAAGCACCGCGCACGAAGTTAGCTACTTCATTATATGTTTGTCAAAACGGTTTGATTTAAAAAATAAAAACTGGTGAATTTTATTATATGTAAATTAACTTCAATTAAGCCAGAACAAACCCCCCAAAAGTCCTCATACAAAGCTGGAACTTCTAGCAACACCCAGCCCCTTGCTGCCACCCTAGACTTGAATTCCCCATCATCTAGAACCCTATATCCATCATGCTTTGTCCCCTTTTTATGCAGTTTATTCCCCAATTTGTATTTTTTGTATGCGTTTTTGAATTTATTATTTTTTAAATAGAATAGTTTATTTTCCCAAATTTGTATGTTTTAAGGTCATCAGTTGTTCTGAGGCTATAAAAAAGTGTTAAACGGCATTTGATCTTCTGGGAACTTTTTTCTTAACTGATCTCCCAGGAATGACCTACCTTATATTCATTTTTTGGGGCATATTCATTCCATCAGGTGACTATATCACACATATCCTTCCTTCTTCCTTGTGGGCCATTTGAGCAGCTTCTAGGTTATGGCTGACTCCTGGGCCGGGGTGCCAGAGTTCCCCCTAGGGGTCAAACTGCCGGAACTGTCTGGTGAATTCAGCCCGAGGAGTCTTCTACGGCCTCATCTTCCACTACTCGCCACCAGCCAGACTCAGTATTACGCTACAGCCACACGGACTCCTCTCCTTGAACAAGCCAAGCCCATTCAGCTTCCAGAGCTTTGCACTTGCTGTCGGAAACCTGGGGTACTTTTCCTACAGGGCTCCCCATGACTGGCTTCTCTTTAGCCCTGAGGACTCAACCAACACTACTTCCTCCACCCAGATGTCACTGTCTCTGCTTCCCATGATCCAGTAACTCATTGCCAACCAGTCACCGCCCCCCCCCGATTTACTCCCTTCCACCATATTCAGAAACAGCCTTTCTTGATCCTTGTTGACTGCCACTGTCACTCCTACTAGACCTAAGCTCCAGGGGGGTGGGGACCTTGTCTTAGAACAGCCGGATACAGAGAAAGTCCTCAATAAAAACCATTTTACTGAGGTGGGTACTAATGTCAAGCCCATGCGAGAGACAGGCAATTGAGGGCTCAGAGAGGTCCTACCAGGTGCCGAAGGTCACAGAGCCAGATCTGAACCAGGTCTGCCCAGCCCCGGAGCCCCTGTTCTTTTCCAGCGGAGGGGGGCTGGTTCTGATGGGCATTTTCCTCCTCCCTCCCCGTTATCAGTTGGCCATTCAATGCCACCTGTGCCGCCACACGCTGGGGCCTGCCTTGGGTTGTCACTCTCCCATCTGAAGTGGGAGGGAGCCATGACCTTGGGCGATGGGAGACCTGGTGTTCCAGCCACCTGCTCTGGGAATGAGACCCAGCCCACCGCGTCCTCCCCCCACTTTCTGTCCTCTATTAAAGCCCCAGACTCTGCCCGTCTTTCCTATCACCTCAAAACCCACGATGATCGGGCTGCTGAGTTTCCTCCTGTGCGTGGCCCTTGGTAAGACCCCACCAAGGGGGGTATTGAGCTAGCCTGCATCGGGAAGGAGGCCTTACCACGGCCCTCCTGGGCCTGGTGAACCCAACCCTGGTTGCCTGGGAGGGTCTCAGCTTGCCTGGGGCATGCCGGTGGCGGCTCCCATCTTGGGGCAGGAGAATGGAGGGGGCTGCAGAAGGGCCGGCCGAGGGGGAGGGCAGAGCTCAGACGCTGTGGCAGGCACCGCGGTGGGACAGTAAACAAGGCGAACCGGGAAAGAGCTTGGGCTCTGGGGTTAGGCTGCCGGGGCTGGAGTTTCTGCTCCTCTGCTCAACACTCCGACTCACCTCTGAGACTCGCCCTACCTGCTCCATAGCCTGGCCTCTTCTGGGCCTCTCTGCCATTGTGTCTCTTCCAAGCAGCTTCCTTGACTGACAATGCTAGCAGACAGCATTGTCAAGTGCTTACTATATATGCCAATACCAAGCTAAGGCTCTTTTCTCATGTTAGCTCATGTGAAACAACAGCCCAGGGAGGTCAGCCCGTTGTTATCCCCATTTTACAGATGGGGAAACTGACCCACGGCAAAGTAAAGGTACCCAGTCTCAGGGAGGGGCAGAGTGGCACTCAGAGCCCAGGCCATCGCTCTCCATTCTCCACTCTTCACGACAGTGGCTGCCACTTCTCCAGGGCTCCGGGAGCGCCTGGAAGCACGCTAAGCCATCAGCCCCTTCAGTCCTACTGCGGCAGGAGCCCAAGGGGGCCTCCCTGCCACTCCCGGGGCCCCGGATATGTTCATATGTAGCTTCCGAGGGTCAGAGTAGGACACGGGAGTGACTGGCACAAGGTCACACAGCAGTTGGTATTCTGGCTGGCACTGGGACCCAGGCCGCTTCCTTCTTTTTGGGGACCCTCTGACTGACACCTCTACTGTCACTTCCAGCCTCGGCCTGTGGCCGACCTAGCATCAACCCCGCAGCCCGGGTGGTCAATGGCGAGGATGCTATCCCCTACAGCTGGCCCTGGCAGGTAAGAGCAAGTGTTTCTCACCACAGGCTCTGATCTCCACACTCTGACTGCAACACGGCCTATCTTGTGTCTGTTGCTTTCCTTTGGTACCTGCTTTAGCTTTCAAAAGTCAGGAAACCTTGGACCAATTATTTCCTCTAAAAGTTTTTCCGTTCAATTTTTGCCCCTTGCCAGGCTACTTGCAGATTAAAAGCAGCTCCTGGAAAGAGGGCCGTCTTAACACAAGGGATGGGTGCACTAATAGCAGAACTGCAGGCTCTGTGATCAGAGAGGAAGATTGGGGGTGGATTCCTTTCTAGACGTCTTGAATATGTAACAAGGCTATAAGGTCTGAGAGAAATAAAGGGATGCCGAGCTTTCCAGAAGTCAGTCGGGGAGGTACAGAGACCTAAACTCTCTGCATTCACACTTGGAGCCGCTAACCAAGTGTACGTATTTAAGTTTCAATTAATTAAGATTAAACACTGTTAAAATTCGGTGGCTTCATGCTAGCTACATTTCAAATGCTCAGTAGCCACTTGGGGTTAGTAGCTATCATAATGGATAGCGAAGGTAGAGAACATTCCCATTATCCTAGAAAATTCTATTGGACGCCATTGGGCTACCACAGGGTTAGCTGACTTGTGCTATTAAGGACCAGAGAGCAAGTATTTTAACCTTTGGCAGCCACATGTTTTCTTTTTTTAAAGATTTATTTATTTATTTATGCATACAGAACTGGGGTACAGGCCAGAGGTGCAGGGGTGACGAGAGGATGCACCAGAGTGGGAGCTGAACAGGCAGATCTATTGAAATACACTGCTGTGGGGAGCAGTGGGTAGGTCAGGAGAGGTCTGCTGCGCCATGTGGGTCAGCTCCCTGGCCGGGGATCAAAGCCTCCAGCCTTGTATGCTGCACTTTAACCCATTATGCCACCAGGGAGGGCCCAGCACATGTTTCTACTGCAGTGACTGAATGCTCTCCTTGTACCATGATAGCAGCAAAGAGAACACATTGAGTGTGGCTTGGTTCCAAAATCTTATGTGCAAAGACCACGGGTCCAGATTCAATGCACAGGCTATCATTAGTCAAGCCTTGTCTTAAAGGGAACTTTTGGAAAGTGTATAGGGAGTGAGTCAGAAGAACTAAGATTCAGGAGAATCGGAGGCCGAATAGAGCTGATGGCCTTAGGGGCTCTCAAGCAGCAGACAAAGCTGGCGCCCAGAGAGGCTTTAGGACTGGCAGTTGGAGGGCCTTGGAAAGCCAGAATGTGGTCCCAGGGGAAAGTGACAGAGCCACAGGACAGTTGCACAGGTTGGGCCCTGCTCAGTCGGGGGAGCGCCATTCTTTTCTGCGGGAATGAAGCCTTCTCCAGTTACTTAGAGCACAGCCCGCACAGTCACGGTGGCACCCTCCATGTGGGGCCCAAACCACTCAGACCCTTCCCTCCCGGGCCACCAGGTCTCCCTGCAGTATGAGAAGAACGGAGCCTTCCACCACACCTGCGGAGGCAGCCTCATCGCCCCTAACTGGGTCATGACCGCCGGCCACTGCATCTCGTGAGTTCTCTCACTTGCCCCGTTCCTGCGTGAGCCCCAGGCAGGCCCGGGCGCTGGATGACTGGGGGGTGGGGAGGGCGAGAGGCCAGTCGAGCCCTAACTGACTTCATGCCCCCCCCCCCGCAGGAGCTCCCTCACCTACCAGGTGGTGTTGGGTGAGTACGACCGGGCTGAGCAAGAGGGCCCCGAACAGGTGATCCCCATCAACTCCAACGAAATCTTTGTGCATCCCCTCTGGAACGGAAACTGCGTGGCCTGTGGGTGAGTGAAGCCTCAGGCCTGGGGCCTGACTCCTCTGGTGGTCCCTCTGTGACCCAAGCTGATTCCCAGGAGACTCCCAGGGACAGTGGGGCTGGGTCCCACATAGCACAGGAAGGCTTGGAGTCAGCAGAGCCTTTAAGGCCATCAGGGAGGGGCACGCAGTCCCCCAAGACCACTTGGCTAGTTTACTTCGGAAGCCAGGGTGCCTCTGCACCCCTTCTGCAAACCCCAGAGCTCCTCTGTTCAGCAGACATTTGTCCAGTGCGTCCTGGATTCCCCACTGCGGGCGGGAGGAACATGGGACTGAGTTTGGCTCCAGAACTAGGTCGCTGTGTGGTCTGGGCAAGACACTGCTCTTCTCTGGGTCTCAATTTCATCTTTAGTCAAGCGTGATCTTCTGGGGTTCCTGGGTGATTGTGAAGGTCAAGGGGGCAGCCCTTAGGGACAACACCGAAGGGCCCCCTAAGCCTCCCCAGCATATGCGAATGGTCTATCTGGGTGGCTCAGCACTTTGCTGGTGACAGGGCAGAAAAAGGGTGCAGAACCCTTAAACAGGGTCAGGAGCTGATCAAGGGGCACCGATCTTCATGGGGTACCAGGGTTAAGTGGAGCGCAAAACTGGACTCAGGTGCGGTGACTTGAATGTCAGGCAGATGAAGACAGGGAAGCAGTTCTCCAGCGCGGTGCCCAGGCCAGGAGTATTGGCCTCACCTGGGAACTCACTAGAAATGCGAGTCCTTGGATGCCAACTAGTCTTGCTGCATCAGAATTCTGGGGCGAGACCCAGCAAACTGTGGGTTCACCGATTCTGATGTGACTGCATTTGAGAACCACAGAGGCATGAAGACCATGGTCAGTGTGCAGAGGCTGAGAGGGCTACCTAGAGTTCCCCGGCAGTAGGAATGTGTGGGATTTGGAAGGAAAAGGAGAAGCAGGGGCATTGGAGAGAACTATCCGGAGCAAAACCGGGAAGTGGGGCTTGGTCTGAAGCACCAGGCTCCCCGCTGACTCTTCCTTCCTCCCCAGCAACGACATCGCCCTCATCAAGCTGTCTCACAGCGCCCAGCTCCGAGAAACCGTCCAGCTTGCCTGCCTCCCTCCTGCCGGAGATATCCTGCCCAACAATGCCCCCTGCTACATCAGTGGATGGGGCCGTCTCTACAGTACGTGCTGACCCTCCAGCTAGCCACAGGACAGTGGGCCGGAAGCCAGGCTCTGGGGACCGGGATGGAGGGAGCTTTGCACTTTCTCCCATTCCTTCCCACCTTCTCCCCCTAATGTGAATGTGTGCAATTAGGGACATTATGAGGGACAATGCAGGCCGGACCCTATAACCCCTTCAGGCCAGAAGAGTCGCCTCCCTCAACTCCCCCACCCCCTCCCATTCTGGAACTTCCAGCTCTGAGTCCCCAGCTCCAGCCCCAGCCCCAGCCCTCCAGGACCCCCCCCCCATCTCTGTCCTCACAGCTGGCGGGCCACTCCCTGACAAGCTGCAGCAGGCCCTGCTGCCCGTGGTGGACCACGCACACTGCTCCCAGTGGGACTGGTGGGGCAGCACTGTGAAGAACACCATGGTGTGTGCTGGCGGGGACATCCGCTCCGGCTGCAACGTGAGTTCTCACCTGCGGGCCTACCTGAAAGGCAGAGACCTATCTTACCTGCTGGCCACGTTCAGCCTCAAGGAAGGCAGGACTTAGAGGAAGTCAGCTTGGGGGAGACTCCCAGCCCTGGCTTAGGAGTCAGGACCCCACTTTTGGTCCTCATTCACATGATGATGGGACCTGGGCTAGTGGCTGCCCCTGGTCCAGTCCTCAGGCTTCCCCATGAGCATAGCAAGGGATGGTGATACCGTGGTCTCGAAAGTCACCTTCAACTCTGTGGTCCTAAAGTGATAATCATATATATAATTATACTTGTCTACATTGTGTTATGAGTTTGAAAAATAATATTCATCATGGTACTGGCAATGGGGACCACCATTAGTTGATTGCTTCTTCTCTGCCAGGCATTGTGCTAAGAACATATCTATCATTTCACTTAATTCTCACGAGACCCGACCCTGTAGGACATATTCTTCCCCGTCACACAGCATCATGAAGCTAAGGGACGGATTCTCTGAAGTCCCCAAATCAGAACCAACTCCTTAAAGCTCAGACATGGCTCAGTCCCTACCACTCTCTGATTGATTCCAGGGTGACTCTGGAGGACCCCTCAACTGCCAGGCCGCTGATGGTAGCTGGCAGGTCCATGGTGTGACCAGCTTTGTTTCCGCCTTCGGCTGCAACACCCGCAAGAAGCCCACTGTGTTCACACGGGTGTCCGCTTTCAACGACTGGATCCAGGAGGTAAGCAGGCTGGAGAGCTGGGGAGCGCCAATCCAGGGCTCACTTTTGAGAGTTTCCTGAGGGGCAGATCCTGACATTGCTATAGCAGCAGCAGTGGAGTGGCCCTTGGGGGTTCCAAGGACTTTGGGAATGTTTTCTGCTATCGTATGACCCCAGGAACTTTTACAACTTCTGGGTAGAGCTTTGGACTACATCTGCAAGCCTCATCTGGAGACGAGTGGTTAGGGAGAAATGATATTCATATGGGAATAGCCACCTTTGATAAACATGTGCCCAGCAGTGACCTGAAGGCCCTAGCAAATAGTTTTTTTTTTTTTAAGATTTATTTATTTATTTATTCATACAGAACTGAGGTGCAGGCCAGAGATGCAGAGGGTGAGAGCATTCACCAGAGACAGTGGGGAGCAGAACAGGCAGATTGACTGAAATACTCTGCTGAGGGGAGCAGTGGGGTGGGTCAGGAGAGGTCTGCCATGCCATGTGGGTCACCTCCGGGGCAGGTCATCGAACTCATGCGGAAGTGGCTTTAACCTGCTGTGCCACCAAAGAGGGTCCCCTAGCAAATAGTTTAATGAAAAAAACGTCATAAGGGGCCTCCCTGGTGGCACAGGGGTTAAAGACACAACACTATAAAGCTATCCGCAGCCACTGCATCCCGAGTTCGAATCCCAGCCAGGGAGCTGACCCACATGGTTCAGCTGACCTCTCCTGTCCTGCCTGCTGCTCCCCTCAGCAGAGTATTTCAGTCAATCTGCCTGTTCTGCTCCCCACTGTCTCTGGTAAATCCTCTCATCACCCCCTGTACTTCTGGCCTATACCCCAATTCTTATATGCATAAATAAATAAAGCTTTAAAAAAAACAAAGAAAAACCTCATAAGGTAAGTATTGTCATACCCCCATTATGCAGATGAGAAAAGTGAGACTCAGAGAGGCCCAGTCACACTCTCAGGGTCATAGGGAGTGAGGGGCAGGGTTGGGGATTGAACATAGTTCTAGCTGGCTTCAGAACCTGTGCTCCCAACTAACTATCTTGGGGTTCCCCCCACTTTCTTTTTTCAGATCATCACAAATAACTAAAACCAAGGCCTGGATGGCAGTGCCAATTCACATTCTTTGCAAAAAATAAAGATCTCAGAAAATCCCAACTCAAGTCTTACTTCTCTGACTCATTTCTCCCCCTCCAGCCTATTCCTAAAATTTTATATCTGATATGTAGAGATGAGACCTGATCCAACCTTCTCATATGAAGATGAAAAGTGGGAAGACCCCAAGAGAAAGGAATTGCTATAGGGCAACCAATCATCCCAGTCTGCTTGGGTCTAAGGGGTTCCTGGGACACAGGAATTTCAGTGCGAAGACCAGGAGCATCCTGGGAAGTCAGTCACCTTAGTTTATCTCCCCTCCCCCAACGCGCTTCTCAGTGCAGCATAAAATATGGTGGAAACCTCAGAAAAATGGACCTTGCCAGCCCCTTGGGAGGCTCATGTACAGTGGGAAGGGCCAAAGTTTTCTATCGCCATTGATGGGCTGGGGTGGGGGAGTGGAGGTCTGCAGCCATGCATTTCTAGCCCTTGCAGACCGAGAAGGATGACCATTATGATTTTTGCCTTAAACTGGCTCGTTAGAGGGAAAAAAGCACAGCTGAGTCATTCATGGAACATTTGCAAGACATGTTCTTTGTAGGAAGATCAGGGCTGGGATTACAGAGAAGAGCAGGACAACTTTGGGGAGCCCCTTTGCTGCAGACTCACACACAGCTGTCCACATGGTGCTGAGAACGAGACCAGAGCCCAGTGAGCTGCTGTGCCCCCAAAGCAACACAGAAACAGAACTGCCCCACTCACGTTCTCCTAAACACCATGCGAGCATACATACCCAGGCCAGTCATGTTTATTCAACCTTTATTGCTACTGTTGTCTCATCCCTTTAAAAATTATGTTTAGTTTCAAAGATACAAGAACACCATGTGTTCTTCATCCCTCCGGTATGACCAAATACTGCTTTTCACTTGCTATTTAAAAAAAACCTAACTAGTTAAGGTGGAAGGCCCTTTGCACTCTCCCCAGGTCAACATTATGGCATTAGGGTCATCTACCCAATATTACTGCCTTTTCTTTGGGGCAGAAAATAGTATCGCTTCCACCTGCTCCTTGACATTGAATGTGGCCACATGGTCGCTTTGGCCAAGGGGAAGCTGTATATGACAGCGTGATTTGCTGAGCTGGCTTTCTATCTCCCATAACAACAGGTCAATGTGGACCTGGACTGAGGAGACGTGGGCAGAGCTTCCACTGACCCCCCCCCCCAAGGATGAATGTGGACTCTTTTTATAAGGCTCAGGTTTGTTACAGCAGCATGGACCTAACTTGTCCTAACTGATAAAATGAGCTTGGTGTTTATCTTCAATTCCATGATTTTATGTTTTCATTACATATATAAATACCCCAAAGCAATATATCACATTGGGTTTCTAAAAATACATATATGGCTTCCTGCTGTAGGATTATTTTATGGCTTTCTACTTTCATCCAATATTTTGAAGATTATTCATGCTAATTTGCATATCCCTAGTTCATTGCTGCTAGTTCTATAGATATCCCGTTGTACAATTACATTGGTTATTTTTCCTTTTCTCCTTACTAGTGGACATTCACATCGGAGCCATTATTTTATGATTTCAAATAGTACTTTTTTAAAAAAGATTTTTTTATTTATGCATACAAGAACTGGGGTACATGCCAGAAATGTGGGGGGCTGAGAGGATTCACCAGACACAGAACAGGGAACAGAACAAGCAGATCTACTGAAGTACACTGCTGAGGGAAGCAGCTGTCGGGTCAGGGGAGGTCTGATGAACTATGTGGGTCACCTCCCTGGCCAGGATTGACCTCATGCTGCAGTGGCTGCAGGTAGCTTCACAGTGCTGCGATTTAATCCCTTGCACCAGGGAGGACCCTCAAATAGTACTTTAATGAATATCCTGGACATATCTTAAGATAAACATCTGGGAGTGTTTCCCTAGGGTATTTCCCAAGCTGTGGAATTGCTGAGTGGGAGTGTGGGCACATTTTCAACTTTACCAATTGCCAACTTGCTCCCCAAAGTAATTATATCAATATTACTGTTTAAAACTCCCTTTTGATTTCCTTTTCCATCCACCATCCTCCCACATTACAGCTGCCCCACATTTGTCTTCTAAAACCACCCCTGGAATCTCAATCTTCCCCCAAAAAACTCAGTCCTTACCCACACTCCAGCATTTATAAAAGCCCAAGAAAGGGTCTGGAGAGTCCAGAGATAAGAAAGGACCTTAGTCAAACAGAGACCTCTGTCTCATGGGGCTGTGGGGGAGGATGAGAAAAATTCTGGAAGCACATATGTTAATCATTTGTACTAAGACAGACAGGCCTGCTGACAGGTGTAACTGTCAAGTGTTCCCAAGACACAGTAGGGCTGCTAAAGTTTAATATCTGCTTCTTCTCAGTGGGTCAGGACAGGGCCTTAAATATTTTTTCTGAAACAATTTTAGGATAAAGAGCAGCCAAAACTGTAAAATTCCACCCTGTGGTTGGACACTGGGCCCTCAGGGGAGCCCCATCCAGCTTCAGGGGGTGCTGAGAACTGCTATGACCTCCTTTTCACCACAACCAGACATCAGAGTTAGGAAATCTTACCTGAAAGTACCAACAGTTCAGTTTACTTATGTTTTTCAGATTTATTTATTTATGCATATAAAAACTGGGGTACAGGTCAGAGGAGTGGGGGTGAGAGGATTCACCAGAGTGGGAGAGTAGGTGGAGCCACTGAAATACACTGCTGAGGGGAGCAGAGGGACAGGAGAGGTCTGCTTCACCCTGTGGGTCAGCTCCCTGGCTGAGAATTAATTGCAGATAGCTTCATAGTGCTGCACTTTAACCCCTCATGCCACCAGGGAGGCCCAATTCAGTTTTGTTTTTTTTTTCAATTTCCAAGGCTCAACAATTCAAACTTAAGAGTCAGTAATTTTGATGTTTTGAGCAACACTTAGTGTCAATTGTCGACAATTTTTTGGTTTTGCTTTCTACATCATGATCAATCTATTTTTTGAAAAAGCACAATGTCACTATTTTTTAAAGATTTATTTATTTATGCATACAAGAACTGGGGTGTAGCCTGGAGATGTGGGGGGGTGAAAGGATTCACCATAGACAGATTGGGGAGCAGAACAGGCAGACGTACTGAAATACACTGCTGAAGGGAGCAGTCGGCAAGGCAGGAGAGGTCTGCTGCTCCCCTCAGCAGTGTATTTCAGTAGGTCTGCCTGTTCTGCTCCCCACTCTGTCTCTGGTGAATCCTTTGATCCCCACACCTCTGGTCTACACCCCAGTTCTTGTATGTGTAAATAAAATAAATCTTAGAAAAACAGACAACAGTCCTTAATCTAGCCCAACCTTCTCTTTTCACAGATGGGGACACCAAGGCTGAGAAGAGGTGAAATATGAAGACTCCTGTGTAGGAGTGGTACGGTAAAGGTCCACCATCACTGGGGGTGTAGGTGGAATTTCATAGAGGAGCGCTGGTTCTTCCATCAGGAGCTGGTTTGCCTGTCAGCAGTAACAGTTTAGACAAAGGGCACATTTTCCCTTCCCCAGGAACACTGGTTCTGCAAGAATAATCCAGCAAAGGGGTTGCAGGGTGCCCCGTAATTCCCTAGCCATTCCATTTGGATAGGCCTTCTGGAAAGCACAGGAACAGACACCCATCCCTCTGCCTCTTCCTAACAATCACCTACCTCCCCCTTGAGGGGTAAGAGCAAGGTGGGAGGGATGCCTGGAAGCATCTCGTGCCCCCTTCAGATGGTGCTATTTAACCGTTGTGCTCAGACTCAGATGCAACCCAGACTCAAAGCAACTCTCACTTTAAACTTCAGTTCATCAGCGCTGGGAAGGCTAGGCACAGGGGCACACAGGGCTAAGATCTGAGCAGCTACACGCAGTGAGGGTCCCCCTGGGCAGACTGTCACTCCCACACCTCCCCCAGGTTCGCGTCTGTCTGGTACACTGAGGCACGGTGACACTGCCGCATCTGGAGTGATTCCAAGGGCCTCACACAGGACCAGCCTCCAGACCGCAGCGAGACAGCCTTCTATTTCAGCTTCTCCCCTCTGGGGGGTGCAGAGGCTTAAGAGTGCGAGCTCAGGGCGGGGCGCTGACTCAGCCTCCAGCCTCCTAGACTATCTCAATGCCGTTTCACCCTCTTTCCATTTTGCAGTTGGGCAAAGACTAAGGCAAAAAGAATTTCCCCGAAGCGGAAAGGCCGCCCAGGTTGTACTCAAAGCCTCACACCATGGAAAGGACACAGAGGCCTTCAACGGTTAACACCCTCTCGCGGCCGCGCACAGCCGGGCCGGGCGCGAACGCGGGTCTCACTACCTTCCCCGGCCTTCTCACTTCCGGGCGGGGCGCCACTTCCGGTTCCGGCCGCGAAGTTGCGCCCGGCCCGGGTTTCCCGGTCCTGGAGGCGGTGGAGGGCTGGCGTCCCGGACGTGGGCAGCGGCGC